AACAAATCTGGGTGGTTACTTTGAATCCCCCCAATCTACATCAATCAGGAGAGAGCTACAAATTCAAATCTAATGATCAGTGCAATGTAGAATTGCCAGTGAAATCTGATAAGAAACACAAACAAACACTTGAAGTGTAATCATACCGCCCATAATATGGTTCAAAAACATCCCCCAAACATGTACTTCTAATATGTCTAATATAAAGTGCCTGCCCATCCCACTAGACACTGAACAAAAATGTATGGTACAGTACAACAAGAAAAAGTAGAAACAAGAACAAGTCTGCAGTACTTTTTATATTCACTACACTAATGAGTAGTACATGACAGATTAAGAAAATGACTTTTCTAATGTACAAATAATCCCTTTCACAAAACCTACCACATGTTACATGTTGAAGTGAATTGAGTCAATCTCAAAGCAAAAATAAAATATGAGTTGTTATTACTAATATTTGGAATATGTAGCAAGAAAATAAAAATAATAATGCAAAGCAAGACTGTTTCAAAACTTCCAGGTACCAGATCACAATATCACATATAACAGCTGCTTGCTTCATCGACAGGGTGCCACAGAAAACACTTTCTTGTGTTATTTCACATGTTGCATCATTGTTTCAAGTTTCATTGTCATGTACAGATAAACAGTGTAGCCACATTTACCCAAAATGAAATTCTTTGGCTCGTACTCCTCAGCATATAGAAAGTGTGCAGTTATATTAAGAAGAAAATAACAGAAAATAGCAGTAATAATAATAACAATGATAAAAGAGAAACAGAGAGAAGAAAAATTTAATATTTAGAGAATTTAAGACAAGTTGGTATTTACAGTTTGTGCAAGAGTATTTACAGGTTGTGCATAACTTGTGCAATGAGCATTTAATTGGCATTTGTTTAAGTGATAGTGTGTAGTCCTGTAATTGTAGTGAGTGTGTAATCGTGTGTATAGAATGTCAGCAGTTCAAAAGCCTGACGGCTTGTGGGTAAAAAATGTCTCTGTGTCTGCTAGTGCGGGTCTGAATACTCCTGAACCGCCTGCCGAACAGCAGGAGTGTGAAAAGTCTGTGGCTGGAATCAGAGAGGATCCACTGCGTCTTCCTCATGCAGCACCGTCTATAGAGATCCTGCATGGCTGGCAGATCTCACCACCCTCTCTAGAGCTTTGCGGTCCAGAGCATTACAGCTGCCATACCAGGTGGTGATGCAGCCAGTAAGAATACTCTCAATGGTGCATCGATAGAAGTTTGTTAGTATTCTGTCCAGCCACTGGCAGGATTTCTGGATGTCAGCCACTTCCTCTATCTCCCAGTGGTACATACCGTGCAGGGGCCTATCCTTCCATGATAGTTCCTCCTCTTGCTCTTCTTTCTTGGGTTTCTGCTGCCTGAGGTATTCACTGAGCACGACGTACGATGGAGCTATTTTCCTGATGTACTCATCAATGTTCGTTTCTCATCCTGTGTCTCATCCTGGACCATGGTTCTGACACTCACTAGTCCATGCCCCCTTCCTTCCGCTTAGCATACAGCATCTGGGTGCTTGACTTGGGGTGAAACCCTCCATGTGGTATCAGGAGCTTCCCGGTCTTGATGTCAGTGGCTTCTTTCTCCTCCTTTGGCCAGCTTATTATCCCAGCAGCGTAACTGATCAGGGCAGGGCATAGGTTTGATAGCCTGGATCTGGTTCTTACCGTTCAAGCTGGACTCCTCGGGACTGAATAGAATAAACCCTCATTATCCCACGGATGAGAAATTTCGGTGTACTTAGTGGTTGCAGCTTTTCTAGCAGCCTCTTCGTTGTTCCCATTTGCCTGCAGGATCCCCAGGTACTTGTAGCCGCCCTTCGATCCCCTCAGTTGTGACTAACTTCACTCTCTGTTACCAACCCACTACACTTCTCCAATCCAAACATCCAAATGACATTCCAAGTGTAGTGTGTATAGAGTGGTGCTGTGGATCAGTGAATCGATGTGTCATTCACTCTTGACATACAGATTAATGTTATCTATGTATTGGAGGTGGCTGACAACTGCTCCATTCTGTAGTCGGTATCTGTAGTAAGTCTTGTCAATAATTATGCAAAACATCAGTGGGGACCGCGCATCTCCTTGGTAGATCCCACACTTGATGGTGACTTGTGCTATGGGCTATTTCTTTCTGTGCCCCACTCATGTATTGAGCCATGTGCCTGTTCATCTTAGCTGCTCTAAGCTTCCATGCGGTACTGAGCCAGGTTATTGGCTGGTAGGTTCTTAGGACCAATAACCAGCACAAAGCACAAAGCTTTGTGCTTTGTGCTGCCAGACGCTCATGGGATGCAGTGAGCGTCTTCAACCAGTAGCCGTGTCGGGGCCTGGTGCTGCCCAATCCTTCATGCAGGAGACCCTTTCATGGATGCCTGCCGTATACATTTTTCACAGAGAGCAGACCCTGTCTGTCAGTGATATTCAGGTTTACAGACAACCCATTTTAACACACACTAATAAGCTGACTACATTTTTTTTTTGTCAGACATGTGACTTAATGACATGTCATTAAATGAGTCAGTGTGTGTGATATGTAAGATAGTGTAAAATGTGTATCAGCAACTAAACTAGTCTTCTGCTGACATTTTAATTTGGTGGCCTGTTAATTAGATCATATCCAATTTACTCCCATTGCAAAATTTGACATTACAACAACATTCATTTCACTCAAAATGTGAATTTTAGTGAAATGGTTTTCACTACAAACAATAGTGTTGTAGTGTTCTTGTTATTTTCAACTAAACTCATTTTGTGTGACCAGCAAGCCCCCCTGCAACGCAAAGTTCTCCAAAACAGTGCTTCGAACAGCTAGGATACTGCACAGAACTCTCAAACTCTCAGGCCTCTAATAGAAGCTGAGCAAGTTTTTTTTTTTTTTTTAAAGCAGTAAAAAGGTAATAACATAATAGCTACACATGGGTCATTTAACAAATGCAAAGTACTAAGCATCAGGGCCACACGTTAGTCCTAAAGTCTTCCTACCTTACACTATCCTTGTAACTGGGAACGTCTGACTTATGTTATGTATTGTAGTTTCTAGAAAACTAATTGAAACATACCAATTCTTATTTAGGGAATACTGCAGCAAAAATTATAGCAGAGATTTGAAAAAGTCCTCCCTAGGGACCCCAAAGCGCTTTACACATCCAGTCATCCACCCATTCACACACTGGTGGAAGCGAGCTACAGTTGTAGCCACAGCTGCCCTGGGGCAGACTGACAGAAGCGAGGCTGGCATATCGCGCCATCGGCCCGTCTGGCCAACACCAGTAGGCGGTAGGTGAAGTGTCTTGCCCAAGGACACAACGACCGAGACTGTCCGAGCCGGGGCTCGAACCGGCAACCTTCCGATTACAAGGCGAACTCCCAACTCTTGACCCACGATCGCCCCGTAAAATGTTATGTATTTTTTTTTCATACTGTCTACACCAGTCCATAAGGATGGAAATAGGAAAGAAAAGAGAAGAGAATTCAAAAGTTAGGATTCCATGGTAATGGATCACATGTTGAAGGTAATCAAAGGGCAGCAGCTTTCTCAGAAAATTCATTTGCTTGCGTCATTTACCTCAAAGTCTGAAATGTATTCTTTTAGTTTGCTGCTTACAATGAACCCTATTTAGCACAAATGGCCTCCATTACAAACCTGAATTTGTACTTCTGCGAAAACATGGTTACATAATTAAAAAAAACGAAGGGACAAACAGTATGTCAGTTCACAACTTTTACCGTGACCAAGTGTGATCTTAACAATGACTTTTTGTACTTCTGCCTGCTTGAAGCGTCTCCAGAAGGTCTTTGATTTTCTCAGAAAAAAGTCAGGAATCTGATATTCTGTTGGGCTTAAGAAATTGCAGTCACTCATCTTCACATTAAGAAAACATTCTTTGGGAAAAAAAGACCAGGAGACCAGCCTTTAACATTACACGGAAATGATACAATTTACAGTCTGCATACTTTCCAATTGCTGTGCTACTCGTTTCTCATACGGTATGTGTACCTGGAGAAAATACACAGTGCAGATTTACTAGCTGGGACGACTCATCGTTATACTGCAATCAAGCACATATAAGAGTGCCAATGGTCCACTCACATGACACAAATTTATAGACACAGAGGCAACCATTTCATTACAATAATGACTCATGCAATCTAACAAACTCAAAAAGGAGCATCCGTAGGTTTAAGTAGAGACACTCAAAGGCTTTTGTACTCCCTGTATGTGTATAAATGTGACTGAAATGAGGAAACCTGAAGTGAAAAGCCAAACTGTAAGAGCTGTGTTTAGATCTTAGAGACATCCTAATGCACCAATCACGTGCTCCTTCTGATAATGCCGTACCCCCAGTAAATGTAATTCAGTTTTAATTATAAATAGATATCTGCCCCGAGTTTATTCCTGCTGAATAATGGTTTCCATCAGTAATTGAAATCTCCATGAAGTATGATGCATCACCCTAACCCTACCCTCATGCTACAGTTTTTTATGTGTCTCAGGTAGAACAATAATTTTGACCAATTTCATAAAACCAAAAACTTCTGATTTTTAGGTAGAGGGTTTGAGTTAGGGTTAGGATTTAGGTCATCACGATCTTGCCTCAGACCTCAGAGTTTTTATTTATTGTTTTCATTGTGTAATCTCAGTTACAACACTATGTTCAGCAGAGCATAATATTTTTCATCATATACGTCACACTGACACCATGTCCAAGTGTTATGGAATTTCCCATTTTCCCTACGGGACCATTGTACACCTCCATCTGAGTCAGTTAAAGTAAACCCTAACCTTTTGGACCACATTTTGATTTTCTTGTCCTGTACAACAAACTGTATGTTGCATCTTTTTACGTTTGTTAAAGTTAGTTAAAGCAAACTTGAGTCTGTTTTCTCGTCCAATAGAAGTAGGACATAGAGCAGAATGGTAGAAAATCAGACATTTATGCAAACATGATAATTCTTCTTAACAAAAGACTCACCTATGATACAGACGTAAAGGGCTGCAACAACGTCCGCCTCCCTGGAGAGTCTTGAGGCGAAAGGGTCACCACGGAGGAGATAATGTGGGAGGTATGAGGGATGTGGCCACGTTGCGTTCTCCATCACTGCCATCAGCAGAGAATGTCCTGTGAAATACAGGAAAAGGCTAAAACAATGGAGCTGTTTCCTTAAGTTGAAAATTGTTCACAAACAAACATGTAGACATCAGGTAAGGACACATAATGTACATTTCCGTACTGCATTATGCAAACCTGAATGCTCCATATGCGCCTAAGTCAGCTGCACATGTCACAAGTGTCAACATTTCTTTTCGACATTAATGTAGCAGTCAAGGAAAACTCACTGCACATTTTTCCTGACTGCCAGAGAAAGAACAAAATTAAAACTCTCCCACAAAGAAGAGGAAAACATCAACTTCCATTAAATCAGTTCTAGTGCCTACCAAAAGAAATCAAATTTTAAAAAAAAAATAGGGGAAAAATCGATAACAGTTGTAGTGTGCTCGCATGGGTTACAAACAGGGCAAGAACCTTGATAAAGCATTGTGACAACATGCTGAAAATTCAGAGTTTTTGGTTTTTGAGTGCTCTGGTGTTTGCTGTGGTTGCCAACATGAAAGTTGTCCACAGTCCACTCCCTGATTAATTTGGATAATTCAAAGTAATAAAAATAGCGGACTTCCGGCTGGCAGCGAGCAGAATGGCGGCGTAATTTCTGAGCTCCTCAGGGTCGAGCGAATTCTCCCTTAATTTCAAGTTTTCTGACTACTTCTATGTTTAAAACAATGCCGGGGGGGGAGGCAAAGAAAAAGAACAAGAAGATACATGAACCAACTGAACAGTATTTTCCAGAAGAACGAGAGGACACGCACGCTGATATGGCAAACTCCGATGAAGAAAATGGCGAGGGGACCAATCTCAATTCTTTGCAAGAGGTCATATAAAATATTAGCCAACAAATCTTTGACCTCCGGACGGAGATGAAAGCTGACTTCAACGCATTCAAAGAAGTCTTCAGGCGTGAGTTGAAAGACAACCTGAAGAAATTCAAAGAAGATATGAACTAACAGCTAACGGCTGATAAGCTAGCAGTCCAAGAATACGACGAGAAGCTTGAGGAAGCTGAAACACGAGTGGCGGGGCTTGAAAGCTGGTCAGCGGTGGCCTACAACGCGCTGAGACAATCGCTAATGGGGCAGAGGAAACTAACCGAAAGGCTAGAAAACCTTTAGTCTAGATCGAGAAGAAATAACCTGCGAATCTACAGAGTCCCCAAAGGAGAAGAGGGCAGCTCGGTAATAAGCTTTGTTGAAAATGTGATCAGAAGAAAGAGGCTAATGGCTGATGGCACTGACCCACAAATACAACAGGCTCACCGATCCCTTGGTCCTAAGCCAGGAGCTGATGCTGCTCCCCGTTCCATTGTCGTCTGTTTTCTTCAGTTCAAAACAAAGGAAACTGTCCTCAGAAACGCATGGCAGAAGAAGATCCTTGTCAAAGACAAACCCATTGGTTTCGACCATGACTTTACTGCTACGGTAGTACAACAGCGCCGTGCACATAGAGAAGTGAAAAGCACACTTAAACAAAAGGGCAATCTCCATTTACAAAACTCTGGAACCACTGGGACACAGGCCCTCAGGTGTACCACAGTCCGGCGGAGGCGGTACGAGAGATGCAGCGGAGAGGATTTACGGTGGAGGAGCCACACGAAAGAGGAGGATTTGACCCTATGTCTCTACTGGAGCAAGCGTCACCATGGCAACCCGCGACCCGGAGAAGCAACAACGGAGCCATTCAGAGAGTGCGCGACAAACTACAAGGGAACAGAGAAGGGTTTGACTTTATAGAAACTATTTCAGTGTAGGGGCAGATAATGTAATCACTCCAAATATGTATCTGGCTCTCTTGAATAATTAATATGTTCTTCATGGTTCAAGTTGTGTATAATTGCTATACCTTGAGGTAGCCAACAACTTAAGATAGGATGAGTGTGACTCAGATCGGGGTTCTCACGGATTCTAAGAGAGGGCCCTCACTTCCAGTGAGGCTCTCCCTCTCATCATTGTGTGGGGGTGTGTCATTTACCTCATATTGGGAGTCATATTGCAATGTTGTTCGAGTTTTGAATTCTACAGTTCTCTTTAATTGTTCATCTATTTGTTCTACCATGTTTTGGTTTAGGTTTTGTTTGGTTTTGAGGTCAGTGGTGGAGGATCATTTTATTTCCACAACAGTATACTATGTCACAGTGTCTGGAATTGATGTTGCTTAACGGCCTGGGAAATCCAATCAAAAGAGCCAGAGTATTAGCAAAAATTAAACAAGAATGCAAAAGGAAGAATGTCATAGAGTGTTAGACTGTAGAATTGGGGTAGCAGATGTCTCAGATCATAACACGATTTTTCTGACAATTCAGTTGGACTCACTTCCAAGGAAAACTGTTTGGCGCCTTAATGTAGGGCTTCTGTCACGGCCAGCGTGTGGAGAGTGTGTGTGGTGGACCCAGGCGCGAACACAGGCGAGGAGACGGGAGTGAACTTAAACTGAAAGTGAGCCTTTATTTGGGCTGATGCAAAAGGGAGTAGACAAAACATAACAGGGACAGAGACTGCAACTAACAAACCTAAACCTAAACTGGAAAAACACTAACCTGACTGAAAGGAATAACTATGAACAGAGTGCTGTGCAGATGCATGGAAACTGTGAACCAAATGGCGTGACGAAAACAGACACGAACATGACCTGCACGGAACCTCATCGTGTGGCTGCATGAAAAACAATATAAATCAAATCTGAATGAATCTATTACAAATGAACATATTAAACAAGAAATAGATACATTCATTAAAGAAAATGACAACGGAGAAGTGAACCCTCTAATTCTTTGGGATTCAATGAAAGCCATTCTGCGGGGAAGCTTGATAGCAAAAGCTTCTTTTGTTAAAAAAATAATAATAAAAAATTGAAAAATATAATCAGCTGACAAAAAATTTAAATTAATTAGGCTTTCCCGTCATATGCTTATGGCTGGCACAACCTTCATGGAAGCCCATTCTATTTATCCCGAAGTAAGACATGATATCAGCAATCCAAAAATGAAATATAGCAGTTACAGAGAAGAACTCCCTTAATGTTGTTAACCAATGGCAATGGGAAGCAGCCAAGTAAGCCAAAATTACTATAGCAGTTGGGAAACCAATAAACCAAATGGCAAAAAGACATGCAAAATAGCTCACTTAATTCCAAAAATTACATTAGATTATACACTTGCACTTTTGGAGGTAGAATAGGTTGTGTAGGCACTACTTGAAAACTTGAATTTGTAAAATTTAATACCTTACTGTCAAATATTCATTACAGCTATAATGTAAAAATGAAAAATGTTATGCTGTCTTAGCAAATAACAACATCGACCTTGGTACAACAGATGGTTCAAAAAAACTCTTTCTTAAATCAGCCAATAATGTTCAGTATGTGTGGGTTGCCAATAAGCCTCTGAGATTAAGTGGGATGTCATGAACCATCAGGTTCGATCAGGAAAGTGGACCCAAAAATGCAGACAAACACGGGCGAGGAATGCTTACAATGAATTTTAATCGTAAAAGTGACCTAACGCGACAAGGGGGGGGGCCAATCAGGCTAGTTGTAGGGACGGGGAGGAGGTCAGTAAGCCGCGGAAATATTCTGTAACAGAGGAGGAGGTAGTTATAATCTGAAGGGAAAACTGGAGCATAGATAACTAGGAACTGGAGAATTGTTCGCCTTACTGTGCCAGTCCGGGTTGGAATCACTGAGGGGAGGGGAGAGGTCCGTGGAAAGCGTCTGGAGGGTCCCAAGCAGAAGCGTGGGGGTTGGCTGGGAGGCGGGGACTGTCCCCGTAAGGTGAAAACCAGGATAGGAACTCCGCTGTACGAAGGGAAGACAGAAATTACTCCGAGAGCTAAGTCACACAAGGAAAACCACAAAGGGAAACGTCATTTACTAGGCTCAATTGAAGCACCGAAGTCCCCGCCCCAAAGGGATGGTACATCAGCCACAGAAGGAGACACCCTCCAGGTACCCCCACGGACCATGACATGGGAATGCTGAGGTTCATGTCTCATGAACATCTACTTAGGCTACGTTCACACTGCAGGTGTTAATGCTCAATTCCGATTTTTTGATCAAATCCGATTTTCTTGTCTGCTTGTTCACACTACAAATAAAATGCGACTGCAAACGCTCTCTAGTGTGAACGTTTAAAGCGGCCCGCATTCGCAAAAGAAGATGTCACACACAACGCGCTCTGTTTAGACCCAGAGCAAACAATATTGTTTGACTGATGGACCTTAATATAAAGACTTCGACTTTACGTTTCCCAATTTTTGCTTTAAGTTATTTTGTTATTTACATAATAATGTAGATAACCTAATAATTATCCTTATTGCTGTTTTAGAGGAGCGGTGCTTCAAAGGATAGTTGCAGATTTCTGCCAGAATCTGCAGATTATACAGTATAAATACAATGTTCACGTTTCTCCAACGTTGTCTTCCCAACAGTTTCACTGACATCTACGCTGGATGGCCAGGAAGCGTTCGCGATGTCTTCTCGGGCGCTTCTCCGGAGCTGATAATTGGTGTCTGTCTTGTGTCAGTGACGTAAAAGACGGATTTAATGCGACATGACCGTTCAAACAGCAGTCGCTTTCTAAAACATCAGATATGTATCAGATTCAGTACCACATACGAAAGTGACCCAGATCGGATTTGAAAATATTGGATTTGTGCCATTCACACTGTCATACCATGATCGGATATGAATCGCATAGGGTCAAAAAAATCGGATTTGATGCAGTGTGAACGTAGACAAAGATATGAGCATGTTTGTCAGTCAAAAGTCTTAACGGCCATTCAAGTACAATGACAATACCATGAGAGATGTAATAAAAGGAAGCATTTTAGACAATGCCACTGATGGAAAAGTCTTGACTGGAGGTCATAGTTTTTGTTGCCTTAAAAAAAAAAAATACAAACCTGAAAGTCATGTTGTTATAAGCACAAAGCTTCATAGATACGCATATTAGGGCTATAATACAGTTCAAGTTTTGTTATATAGCCCCAAATTAATTTGAACTGATCTGAATCAAGACCCAATTTTATTTCATTCAAACAACACTATTATAAAATGCATTTGCCTTAAAACACAGTGTTTAAAAAAACAAACACTGTGAACAAATACTACTATGCTAAAATTGCAAACTTCTTTTAATCTCTTGGTTATGTTTTTACTCAGTCCAGTTTCATTATCTATACAGCCTGACTTTGGCTGTTTCTGACCGTCTCCAGGTGACCAAGCTCTGACTCAAACTGTTATGTGCAGTATTAATTCAAAAGCTGAAGCTAAAAGTGTTACGCTTTTTAGTGTAACCTGTTGCTGTATGAAGCATGACTGAAATTAATTAAGTGCGTTTTGGGGGCCTCTATGAGCTTTAGATACTGTTCAATCATCTATAGGAGGACAGTCATCAGAAAAATGCATAAGTGTATCGATTTGTAAGCTAAATGAAATGAAAAATGTTAAGTTTTATGTGTTACATACAAGTACTGTACAGTGCTTAACAATTTTTTTACAGCACCTACCATAAGAACATAGAGGAAAAAATAGAAATATAATAATAGAAATATAAAACTTGTTTAAAACAAAAAATGTATTGTTATTTATTAGGCAAATAACATAATTAATGTTTTTATACCTAAATTTCAGCAGATACATGTGTCTTCTCTGTGAATCAGAAACGACTCAAGCATAACATTCAACCTCTAAATGTTTCTGTTCTGGAATGCAAGTAAATAATGGTTCATCTTCATCAAAAAATAATAATGTGCTCTGCTATTTTCTTCTATTTTTATGACAACAATTACATTTAAGCAGTTAAATATTATTTTGCTTAAAGAGCTTAAATATACTAATAAATTAACCCATTACAGACATATAAAAATGATTTTGGTATAATGCTGTTAATTCAGGGCACCTGTGGCATAAACCACAGTGGGTAACCCTAACCCTAATACATTTATTAAGCACTGTATATCACACTTTGCTTCAGTTGACTGATTTACATGAAGACTTAGTGTACTTTGTGTGGTCTAAAAATTTATGGTAATGATTTGTTTCTACATGGCTTCATTTTCAATGAAAAGTGTAGCTTTAATAATGACTAATTATACTGATTCATGTACATTTTATTAATTTGATCAGATTTAGTTTAATTAACAAACTCATACGGTAGGCAAATATTAATGGAGAAGGCTGTTCATCTATTTAGCACTGTCCTTCTTGCTTGAATTCAAAGCTTCTTGCTCAACCATTAAGCATGAACCGTGAAATCTTGTGCATCCTGATCTAAATGAAGAGATCACAAGACCAGCACACATCCTTCCTTCACTGCATTTCCCATTTCGGTTCATGTCTTTAGAAGTAAGAGTGATCACAGTAAAACCGCATATCAAATGTTGGCCAAGCTCCAAAACCCAGTGACCTTTATAATGAAGTCAATCTATCCTCTTTGTCTATCATGCAGAAAGTCACTGAAATTTGCCATTGGAATAAAGATTTTTCTTTCAGTGATTTTCTCTAACAATTTCAGGTGGCCTCCCTAATCAGGTGACACTCAAGCTCCAAACCACTTTCAATGACTTAATCTGCTCTGTCTCTTTCTAATAAAGCACTGTCTGCAGTGACCTTTGCCCCTTTAAAAGATGGACATACCTTGGCTTTCAGTACATTCTCACTGTAAAATCACTAATCAACCACTAATCAACATCTCAACATACAGCCAGTATGAATGAAACAGTGAGCCATATATAGTTGTATAACTATATATATATGGCTATATAAGAGTACCAAAGAGTCCTGGTTCTCCTATGTCTGTCTCTGACTCTTAGGGGCCATTATTGCGGCTTCCCACCCTCATTTTCATTTTATGACAAAGACACACTAATACTCGACACTCTCTCCTTCTCTCTCCCACACTCACACACACACCCCTGAAGAACATTGTTGCGTACCTGTATGTTTTATACATACATACATTATGCATTTTTATTTGTAATGTCCTTTTATCACATCTTCCCCTACCCCCCTACGGCCACCCCTTTTTTTTCCTCCCTGTCCTGCCTTAGACATTGTCACACTGTATACCACATATAACTTTAAATAATACGAACAGAAAGGAAGAAATAAACAGATAAACCCTTAACAAGATGAGCCTATAGAGAATTTATAGAGCTGACCTTGGAAAAGCAAAATATGTTTCATTCAGATCATAATTCTGATTGCAAAAGCTGTCAGACAGGTAAGGTTTCAAAAGAAGAAGAATAATGAGAAGACATATCTCTGCACTGTTTGTGCAAACTTTTCTCATTCATGTGGCTTGAGATGAGGTGTCAAAGGAAAATGAATAAAACACAGGATACACAGTTAAGGTCAAGGCTCTAAAGCAGGGCCGTGCAGAGAGGTTTAAAGGGGCGGGTGCTCAAAGTTAAAAAGGGGCACATTGAACCAGGCTGAATAACAACAACACACATTCATCAAGAATCTAATATGGGAAGGGCAGGGCTGTGTTGATCTGAGACTGTAGACATTAAAAAGTCCATAGGAGAGATGGTAGCTGATTAAACAAGTGTCATGAGATAATAACAAAATGCAAAGATTGGTGACAGCGCTTGGAACCATAAGGCAACAAAAAACTGCGAGAAATAATTTAGGCTCTGCCTGTGAATCACTCTTTGCTTCTCTTCTTCCTTCCATCCCATCATTTCATCATTTCATATCACTCTCCACTTGCTATGTGAGAATAAGGCACAACTTGCTATTGCAATAAACTATAATCTAATTATCCACACCTAACAACTCTTGCACTTAATCTATAATAAAATGATGACAGAAAAA